GGGAAGAATCAAGATTAGAAAAAAAAAAAAAAGCATACTTGTTACTTTTTTGTGAATGTGTTATTCAAAAAATTATTCATTAAAATATTTAATTCCATTTTTTACATAGGGGACAAAGCATGCCTTGCAACTGGCACATATTTTGAAAAGAAAAAACAGAAACTGTTTGATGTGTGTTGTGTATTGTTTTATGCACAATACACAACACACATGCTAATAGAGATAATAATTTTATTAAAGGATACATGGGGGTGTAGAATTCTTAAAAACTGGAGCAGACAAAATCTGGAGCAGTTGTCCATGGCACCCAGGCAGCTTCTCTGTTTCATTTTCAAGGCTTAACTGAACAGACTAAAGAGAGAAGCTGATTGGTTGTTATGGACAACTGCTCCAAATTTTGTCTGTCCCAGTTTTTAGGAATTCCCCTCACTTATTTAGCACTTTCTCTATAGAGTGTAGCCAAATCTATGTGACGTTTAAACCCTGTGCAAGACATAGAAGAATAATACTGTATGAAACACATACAAGCTAAGAATAATACACTTACTGCAGGCACAGAAGATAAAAATGGCTTGATGTAGATATTTGAGTTATATACTTTAAGGTCATGATCTCCAAATCCACGTGTTACTCCAATGGTGGCCATAACCCTAGCCTGTAAAAAAAATGAAGATGCACGGCTCATAAATTCACATTTTCCAACCATCTCCATTCTGTGTCTGTATATTGCTTTTTAATAGGTTTATGTTTAATAATCTCCATCTTTTTTCTTCTTTCTAAAGTACAGTAGTTGTTGAATGATGAAGCAGCCATACATATGAAACGAGTGGCAATATTTAGAGTGTGAAGGGACAATACTTTAGATTATATGAAGAAATGATAATAGATTTACACTTATCTATCCCAGGACTGGTTTAAAATGGTGACCAGTCTCTGTTGCACTGGAGGGGGTTATTGCAAGAACCATTTAGCTATAAGCCCAGACAAATCATTTAAAAGATAACTTTTTATCCCATAGCTCTCTTTAGGGCCATGGGAGGACTAACAAAATAGCAGAGTATACTGAGTATGACTCCCAGGAGGAAATAGTTTCTAAAATAAAGTAACAAACATTAAAGTCTCCAAACCTTTTTGCCTTCACCATACACAAGAGGAAATTTCATATCATCTTCTTCGATTGTTTTGTAAGCCCTGTTTAAAAAAAAAAAAAAAAAGTGAATATACAATGTTAAAAAGTATGCTTTAAAGCTTTACATAATGTAACAAAATTATTTTAGGAAATACTTACGGTATGTCCTTATATCACTAATACTTGAAGGTCTATATGAAAATCTGAATTAAATGGTACATTCTATAACTAGGCACTGTTTCTAGTATCAGAGCATGAATATACAATTGCTAAGAGTGGGAGTGTTTAACATGCTTGACGTAGTATGTACATGCTAAAGGTATGGACCTCATCATCTATGAATTCTATACAAAACCTTGACGTTGGTCCTAAATGACCATAGCGTGCTTATGTCTCTTAATTTATTATTTGTTACTGGATTTGTATATTTTTAAGGGCTATTCATTTAATATGCAAGAACACATATGACAGTGCCAGGTATTAGATGTATACTAATTACACCAAACCAGACACTAAACATATGCTTTAAATATAATACGGCATAGGCTTCTACTTAGTATTGACTTCATTTGTTTTTTCTGTTTTAAATGATATCTATCATACTTGTTGAAACCAATATATGTCTACAGGTGATACATACTCTACAGTGTACAGTACGAACAGTATATAATGCAGCATATACCATACATCAATGATTTTCTATGTGTGTGTTATATCTTCACATATCTGTCTTACTGCCTTTAATGGCTACACAACTTATCAGCCATGTCCATCTTGGTATTTGTTACCTAATCCTATATTATAGTTAAAGATAAAACAATAAAGACTTTGGATCAGTTTTCTTGTAGTTGTTTTTAAACTGTTGTATTACGATCCTTTAAGATAGCACTGTACGGCGGCTCCTGGAGGAGGAGAGGGGCGCATGCGCGGAGACCAGCGGGCCGGATGTCTGACCCGTGAACTCCGCTCCTAGGCGGATGGAGTCCCTGCTCTCGTAGCTCCCGCAGCTGACAGTACTGGGGCACCGGAGGCATTGGAGGTCGGCATAGGAGAGGCGGGGAGATCTCTCTAAGACGCAGCAGGCAAGGAGAGATGGCCGGGAAAACTTCAAAGAAGAAAGAGAAAGAACCGCAGCCACGAACGGGATCAGTAATAGCAGCAGCTAGCAGTAAGACAAGGATGGCGGCGGTCCAGAGCCCTCGTGGAGAGAACGGCACAGCACAAAGGGGGAGAGAGGAATCAATCTCTAAGAAGTGGGGAAATGGTATGGTATAAAATAGTGGAATATATCATGCATATGTATAAGTGTGTGTATACATGTGTATATATATATACGTGTATGTCCATTGTCTTGTTTAAATTCTTGGTTTCTTTTCTCTGTTTCTTTTCTTTTAGGTAATTTAAAAATAAGATCACAAAGATAGATATGTATAGGTTGGGGAGAGATGAATGTTAGGTAATAATGTATGTATTTATGTGTTATTTATATAGCTCTGCTCACCCACCTTTTTTAAGATGTATTGGGGGTGATAGCTATGGAGGGAAGGTAGAGGAGTCCGAAATGGCTGTTCGAATTGTTTGTTTGTTTGTCTATGTATAGATGTTGTTATTTCTTAAAAACAAATAAAAGACTTTGAAATAAACTGTTGTATTACAGTATATACATAATCTTTGTTTTACAAATTAACATTTAATACATGACAAAGGAGTCAGAGAGCACTGTGGGTTAGCCAAGGAGACAGCATAGCAGATGCCGCTCGCTTTATCTAAATGGAAAAAACATTTTTTTTGGTCTTGACCACAATAAATTAGCAAAACATGTGGAAAAGCCACTGAATACTGTATTGTATGATTTAATGGCTTTGAAGACCTATATTATTTAGCCTGCATATACCACAAAATGCTTCATGATGCGTGTTATAGGCATAGTGAAGTAGAATGGCTGGTTCATAAGCAAATGACCTGCTGATCCTATGTCATTATTAAGTGTATGGCTACACACCAGTATAGCAATTAATGTACAGTTCCTCCTTTGCTTTGCTTTGGCTTTGAGAACAAATGTATAATGGCCCTAACGGTTGTCTCAACCTATCCGATTGTGAATATTTAGGACTGAATGTTCTATGCTGAAAATAATTTTTAAATTCTGTCATGGCATATTGAGGGCCATTGTCTGATGCAAACCCTCTTGGAATTTAATGTGAGGAAAAAAATGCCTTTCAAAGAGTAGATGTCAAGGTATTTCTTAAGTATAAATACTTCAGGCAAAGCCAGAAGCACGGGCAGGTCTTTGTCTCTATATTGGGGATTTTGCTCACATTAGAAAGATATTTTCTCACTTCCTGTTGTGCAAATAAAACAGGAAATGAATGGGAATATGCCTAATGAGACACAGCTGACACATAGTGACAACCCTCTCCTACCCCCCCTCAAAAAAAAATTAGAAAAAAGGTTCTGGCTTTAGATATACTTTATTTTTATTTATTTTAAAAGCAGCTTTTGTAGTCCACAGCCGGAATAAGTTTGCACTGATGAGCAAAGTGGTCTGATGCAACGTTCTGCAATGGTAGTAAGAATACTGCTTGATTAATTGTGGGATCAAGGGTTATACTGCGGTTGGAATCCTGATGCGGCAAGAAACATATGAGCATCGTTTACTCAGTTTTAACATTCATTTCTGTATCAGGCTTGGACTTGATTTACTCTGCTCATATCACTCTGCATTTGCTGAAAACTTGAATTTGTTGATCTTTTTTTATGCAAGAATAAGCATTTGTAAAAATTGGAATCTTCACTCTAAAGGTGCCCATACACTGCACGATTCTCGTACGAGAATCGTGGGAAATCCCGCGATCGTGCGAGAATCGTGCAGTGTGAATGAAGACGTGCGACCGTTTCTACTGTACGGACGCACGTCTTTTGTCTAAGGAGCATGCTCGAAAACCAGCCGAAAATCTTACGATTTTCAGCTGGTTTGTGGCATGCTCGGGAGACAAATGCCGAACGGGCCGCTGTGCGCACGCGCACACTGCCCGTTCAGCATTGCGGTCATTGAAAGCCCGCCCCTCAGGGGGGCGGGTTTGCGATGATCGCAAGTATGATCTGCCTGTCCAAGATGGGCAGATCGTACGTTTTTTTAATTACTTTAATTACTTTTTAATTAATTACTTTACAACCATCGCAAGACTAAGGTCTTGCGATTATTGTAAAGTGTATGGCCACCTTAAAGGTGCCCATACACCTTACGATTACCGTACTATAATCGTATGCGATCGACTTTTCGTACGACAATCGTAAGGTGTATGTGTGCAACCGCCAATACTGTACAATCGTACAACTTTTGTCTTTCCTGCATGTTCGGAAAAAGTCGATCGTACGACTTTTGCAAGGTTGGTGGCGTTTCCGTACGTCAAAAGTCGTACGATGTACACTGCTCATGCGCAAACGAAAATACGTGCGGTCGATTACCGCAATTCGTCCAGGTGTTTTTTTAACTACCGCCGATTGAACCTTGCGATAATCGGGGCAGGATGGGGCCGCCATACGACAATCGTGCGACGGTTTGATCGGACGAAAAGTTTCGTACGATAATCGCGGGTGATCCCGTGATCGGACGATAATCAGCAGGTGTATGGAAGCGTGTGACCGTTTCTACTGTAAGGTCGCATGTCTTTTGTCTAACAAGCAGGCTTGAAAACACGCAGAGAATCGTACGATTTTTGGCGGGTTGGTGGCGTTCTCGGGAGACAAATGCCGCACTGCCCGGTGTGCGCAAGCACACAGTGCCCGCTCAGCATTGCAGTCATTGGAAGGCCTCCCCTCAGCGATGATCGCATGTACGATCTGCCTGTCCAAGATGGGCAGATCGTACGAGCTTTTAATTACCTTACAACCATTGCACGATGAAAGTCATGCGATGGTTGTAAGGTGTATGGCCAGCTTTACAAATAGTGCATTCTTACCTTACATTACATTATCTTACATTCAAAATCTATAGCGCAGGGCTGCACTGGACGGCAGTATGGGGTACAGATTTAAGTGGCTAATTCCATTTTCCCAAATTACTTGGGACAGTGAACTTACCCTTTAATGTGCGTGTTAAAGAGCACTGCTGCCCCACTACCACAAAATGACACACAGTGGAATGAGGGCAGCACTCAGTGCACACACACACACACAATGCCCTACACATGCGTTTAATCGCACGCAGATGGCGGAAGGGCAGGTTTGGTTTTTATTTTAATTTGTTTTTATTTTATTTATTTATTTCACCTTTTTATCACTTTTTAATTTTATTCTTTTGTGTTTTTTTAATTCTTTTTTAGCTGTTTATCAACTTTTTTTACTTTTAATTTTATTATTTTGTATTTCTCATGACTTTTTTTTTTCACTTAACTTTATTGGTAGGGCTAACAAGCCCCTAAATATGATATCATTTGGAGGTGACAGGCTCTCTTTATGAGGCCTGCCCTCCAGGACAGAAAATCCAGCACAGCATTATGCTTTACCTTCTGAACAGCTCAGGTTGGAACAGCTGACACAGGAAGCTCTATGAATACAGCGTTCCTGTGTCACTGATCGCAGAGCGGAGAACAGACGTTCTCTGCTCTGCTCTCCTCTCTCCATCCTAAACTACTTTGCCTTGGTCCCGGGTCCCCCAAAAGAGCGTGGGAGCCCAAAAACTGCGGCAGGGAGGGGGAGGCTGCAGGGACAGACCTTGCAGGGGGGGGGCAGGCAAGGACGGACGGACGAGCAGGCTGCTCTACAAGTGATCCGGACGGATCACTTGTACAAAAACAAGCATCCCAAAGCTTTTTAAAAATTTAAAGCGACGCCGTCGGCGCTATGTATCGTGCCATTTTCAAGAGTACAAGTACTCGTGAAAATGCCCTGTATCGGCATCGATAATAGTATCGGTATCTGTGCATCCCTAGTAAATACACCTGTTTTCTTTTTGTTTTGTTTTTTGCTTTCTGTGTCCAACTTGGGAGATTAATGTTCACTACATACTCTATAACCACAACAGGAAGTGAGAGGAACTCTCTCCATAGTAGGAAAAATCCCCTCTTAGACAGTTGTCAACGAAACAAGTGTCCATATTGGAATAATCCTCCTCTATTAGTTTCTTAGAGTCAACTCGAAATGTGCGATTTTCCTTCACTTTTATCCCTGGTGACAGCAATAAAAACCCGGCAGGGTTGCTACAATCTGTAGAAAACTAGCAGCTCGAGGAAAGCAGAAATGGAAGATTTAAACCATTGTCCTCTACTATTTTCAAGTCGTTTTTATGTAGGTCATTGGCCACCAGGACAAATAGAGAGAGTTACTCTCCCTAAAGGGGTCACAAATAGCAGTAAAAACAAACCTGACAGTGTTATACCGCTTATAAAAGTAAAAACAAAGAGTTTGGCCTTGATAAACACTTTAACATCATATTTCTTTCATGTAACCCTGAAGGCACCATTTTATTTTTTTAATCTGTCTGTTTAGCAGTGAGCTGTTGAAGGACACGATAATGGCCTTACAGTCTGATAATGAGATAGCCTGCTTTGAGAAGGAGAAAACAAAAGTGAATAACTGTACACACAGCTGTCACTGAGAAGTAAGACTGTGCTAATATAAAATGTCAGGGGTAGGAATTCCAATTCCCCCCAAAATTTTCTTTTGTGACCATTGTGAGCTGTTAAAATGGCACAGACAGTATAAGATTTAAGATATATTTCTAATGTAAAGTCACATGGGGCACATACACACTGTCAGCACTGGATGAGATCACCTGACCACAAAATGCAAGTTAGCACAGACATTGCTGATCTCTTCAGTGACACAACGTAACAGTACATGCTGACATACTGTTTAAAATCTTGGATGCATGTTCCTTTTTCTGGTTAAAAAAAGTTGTATCCATCACTAACAAAGTTTTAGTTGCCTTGTATTGCAGATGCTGAAAAGTGCATTAACATAAGATCTACAACCATTATAAGGCCTCATTCACACGAGAAAAAGCCGGCACATACAGCTCCGTGCTGCGTACACGGCCGTATCGGGCAGCTCCCGGGAAGGTCAGGTGCTGCGTGTGATTAGTACGCAGCCGCTGTCCTTATCTATGGGAGTACGTGGCTGTATGCCGCCCTACTCTCACCCCAAGTGCAGGTCCGTACGGGTGCGGCTGTCCCGGCTCGGAGTTCTAGGCTCAGACCGTACACAGAGCCTTGACTTCTCTACAACATGTGTTCCCCCTGGCTCTAAGGCTAACCTCCAGTCATCCTGCAGAATGCCAGAGCTTCTACACCTACTGAGAAGCTGGACAGATTATATGCCCATTTAGCCTAGGTTGGAATGGCAATTACCCTCCCAGTAAACTCTCAGTTATCCGGTATTCAACTAACCAGAACTCCTGGAAATAATTGTGTGTCTATTTGTCTTAAATGTGTCTATTTGTCTTAGTTTGCTTTTGAGTACTGCATTTCAATATTATTATGAAGTCAATACAGTGTTTATGTTATGGTATGGTATAGTATGAGGTATGGCATTAATTAAACTTATTTTTAATAGTAAATCTCAAGCAAACAGAAACTACATTTATCCGGACTCTACTAATCCCCGTGGATGCCGGATAACGGGGAGTTTACAGTATTATATCCGTAAAGATAAAACTTCACAAAATACATGTTTTGATGACTTTCAGTGTAATTTAAAATCAGACAGAAATAGTGTACATTACCAGCCTGTCATGGTGTGGTCTCGATATAGCATCCGCTTCCTTATTTCTTTCTGCTGTATTCTTCTTGGGAACTCAAGACATGTAAATTCATTTCCCAACAGATCTGGCTGTAAGACAGCCTAAAACAGAACATATTTTACGTATTTATAAGGTAATGTGTTACCTGTCCTTTTTAGTGTACAAAAACACAAATTACGGTAATTAGACGTATAAAATAAAAAATAAAATAAAACAAAACTTTTCAAGTATAATTACTGGTCACTGTCTACCTCTAATATCATTTGTCCTCGGTTCTGGCTGGTTTACTGTTCTATATAGATACTTTAACTTGATAGTTGCACTCCTATTCTCTCTATTCCATGATAATTTATGTAGTATGCTCAAACCTACCTCCAGACATGCCTGATATATGAACGATTTTTTGTGTACTGCCTAAAGTCTAGTCCAGCCAGCACTAAACCATGTAATATCATAATATCTGAGCTGCACTGCTCCTTCTTTTCTATTTCAGTAGACAGCCGTGGGTTAAAATGTAAGGTGGTATATTAATGGCAATTTACGTAAGGAAACATTATGGGGAAATTGTTGTTCAACCTACATCCTGCGAGCCCAGTCTATCATGGACACACCCCTAAGGTTATGTCATCTTGCAGCCTGAAATGTAGAATTCTGTAGAGATGCGAGTGTCATTCTTAGCAGCAATGAGGATCGCACAGCATAGATGTTAAAAGAGAAGAGGAAGGGTTCTGGCTTGTCATGTGACCTGCAAAAATACACCTGAAAATAAGGCAAATGTGCTGACATGCAGCCTTTTTTTGTCGGGGGTGGAGGGGAGCACAGAGTTGGAAATGGTCTTTAAGAAAGGTACCTTTAGCCCATCCCCCCCGTGAGCCCCCTCACCTGATTACATCCTTGTAGGGAGGAGGCACGATTCCTGGCGAACCAGTGGTAATTAGTAAGGTCTGGTGCAGACCTTACTAGTCCATCTTTTTCGGCCGGGGCTCAGAACTGTCAGAACGCCGCCTGAAAGGATCCGGGTCCCAGCAGTGACAGGAGCCGTGACAGGAGCAGCTCTGCGATCTGCATCCGACAGAGATGCAGACCGTGTAATTGCTTCCGCAAGTCAGGTACGCGGTCCGTGACCGCGTGCCTGACTTGTCAGCTGGCTCTGAGACCCCAATTTCCACATGCACTGCAGACCACACGTACTTTGAGACCCCAATTTCAATTCTCCCTCACTTTATTTCCAATCACCAAATGCGAGCAGGCGAATGGAAATTTTGAGCCCTGTGTGTATACATACATACATATATATATATATATAGTTTGCACAACCAACATGTGAGGGAGAAGTGTGCCTTTAAAGAACCATATTGTCTTCTTACTAGAAACTGCAGCCTTTGCCTTTCTGTTTCCGGAGTAAACTCTTGTGACATCGAAATGGTTTTCCCCTGTTGGATGATAATGGCTCTGAAATCACATGAAATGGTGAAGTCACACAAGTGAAGCTTTCATGTGAAATGGTTGATAATAGTACAAACGTCACATAGAGCTTTTACTAAAAAAAAGTAGCAAATGTTCTGCCTTTAGAACATGAATCCATGCAGACTTATAAATGCTATTACACTATATACCTGCTTCATAAAAATAATATAGTTGTCTAATTATGAAGAAATATTTCTTGGAGATGAAGAAGCTTTGTTAAACCCCCGAGGGGACCCAGTACCATTGAAATCTGTACACGGGTTGCTGAGCAGCCTTGTTGGATATCTCATCACCACAACATCCCCCAACCCCAACCCCGAACTACCGCCACCACTATCCAATAACACTGGATGAAGGAGACGGCAGTTCTGACAGCGCAAATGAGGGGGCATGAAAGGCAGTGTTTCTGTATTTGCAGCATGTTTAAAGGGAGAAGACATGGGAAATTGTGCATGTATTCCACAAATGTACTAAATATATATATATTTTGCCTTGACATATGCTTAAAGGGCAACAGCACAATAAAGCTTTGGACCCAGAAGTGGTCAAAACAGGTCTGGCACTGCAGTCAGGAGGGCAATAGCGGCAAAGAAGGCAGCATCATTGTATGTGTAGAAGATACTGTATATCAGGAGTGCCCATTAGGTAGATCGCGATCTACCAGTAGATCGCAAAGCGAACACTGGTAGATCGCGGTTGGCTCACTGACCTGTGTTCAGTCCTCCGGCGGTGCTCGCGCGACTGAATGTGTCAGACACCGCAGACAGGAAGGAGAGAGGAGACTTGGTACACAAGCCAGCCAGCTCCCTCCGTTCAGGGGTGGGAGGGGACGTGGTGGTGCATTGAAGTCAATGGCACCGCAGCCACGCCCCCCTGCCTCAGTGTAATCGCCCGCATCCGGAACGCAGGCACATTAATGCCTGCGTTCTGGTCCATCGTGATCTGCACAAATATGCAAAAATGCTGCATTTTTGCAGATCCCACTGGACCGGAACACAGGCACTAATGTGCCTGCATTCCTAGTGCGGCGATTGCACTGGGGGCGTGGCGGCTCGGCACAGGGGGGTCGTGCTCCCTCCCGCCCCTGAATTTCGTTGGTAGATCTCATTGAGGTCGTCATTTGAAAAGTAGATCTCCAGACAAAAAATTGTGGGCGCCCCTGCTGTATATCATTTTAACGGTAACACTTTTTGATATGATTTTAATGAGAACAATGAGCAGCACAATGGTGATTTTACCAAATGTCACTCTATATCTCCTGAGACAAGCAGTCAAAGGCAGCAGTGCCTTAGATTTCACAAAGCAGATATACTGCTAAGAGGCTGTGGTTACATGAGTGCCTAGGCCTACTTTCAATTAAATCATACAAGTAAGGTACATCCACTTCCTTTCCTAGGGTGACAACACTTAGTCAGCTCAGCTGCAGCAGTGTCACCCTTTCCTGAATTGAACTACAAGCATCCATGCCAGTGTACAGTGCACTAGCACATTATGCTACAGTCACTACAAAACAACTGAAGTTCAGCCACTACTGTGCACATGCTCACAGGTATGTCCTGAAAAAAAGTATAGAAGACATACACAGCGAAGGGAGCAAAAACAGCAAACAGAGTATGGAAAATGGCATCTATTTAAAGCTCAACTCAAGCCCTACCTTCAGTCTTGCACAGTTGTACAGGCTCCTCTCCTGTACCGAAATTGCTTATTCTGGTTTCATTGTACACTGTGAACTTCTTCCAGTGTGTAGAGTGTACATTAGTAGCTGCAGCAAGTCAGAGACCGTCTGCCACATTGTCTAGCTGGAGGACATCCTGCATCATCCAGCCCTTTTCTCCCCAGCCTGAATGCCTCTGGCCCACCCCTTTCGTTCCATTCGACTTCAGTTATTTCAATTATGTACGCCTAGTCTGGCTAGGAATGCATTATCCTTCAGGCTAACACCCACCCATCAAGGCATTTTGATATTTGCATAACTCCTCCCAAGGGCCAAAATGCTGCTTGATCGGGGCTGAGGGCTCTTCAGAGGAGTACTATAGAAGGGTGCTCTGATGTTATCAGAAAGCTACTGTATGTATAGCACCCTGCTGACCACCAGTCATGATCTCCCTGCATAGCATACAGAAGCGCAGAGATCCAATGTTGATGTCAATGGGTCTGAAACAAGGTATACAATGAAAGCAGAAAGGTTCTATTTAAATATTTCATTAGCATGTTGTGAAAGTATAACTCAAGCAGAATTGACTGCAGCTTTAACAAAACAATGCAATCCTGTTTACTTACAGCACTCTACAAAATCAAATATTCTTTTGTGAGAGTTTGTTTTTGTGTGGCCAGCTTTGGAATGTTTGAGCTTTGTCTGTTTGCACAAATCAGACTCTGCCCTGGAAAACAACCATTCCTTTAAATGACACCTCAGTACAGCAAGCCCATTATTAGTCACAAGTCCCATTATTAGCACAGATATCTCACACATTATGTTGATGTTCTTAAGGCGTGCATAGTTTTTTTACTCCTAAAAAGAAATTCATAGCTCTGTCTCCATTCAGCCATCATGATTATGAATCCTACCTGCTGTCCCCAGCATTAGCTACAAACAGTTTGTCCAGTAAACAGATGGCAACAAGTGCACAACAGCCTCCATCTATACTATGTGAGGTTCTCTCTCTTTCAATCTGTTCATCCTGTAATCACAAAGATAAACATTAGACATATTTATAATGACAGCTAGTAGTGGAGGGTGGCAGAAGGGTGAAGTCTTACAGTCAGAGTACAGTGTGTTTATTTTTCCATATTGTCTTTATTATCTTCGTTACTAAATAACATATCTCATTGCATAATAATATTTCGCATTTTTATTTCCAGCCAGTAGGTTAGACTATTATTGCTGCTCTACTGAAAAAAGGCTTTTGTTGACAGAGCTTCATAGCTCAAGCTTAAAGTGACACTAAACCCAGGAGTTAAATCTTAAAAATGCATTCAAATACCTAAACTATTAAGAACAATGTCTCTTATTTGTGAATCACACAGCTGTAGATCCTCAAATCATCTCTGAATTAATGCTCACACTGTCCTTCCTTCTGGAGGGTGACTACTTTTGTTCCCCATGGTCCTGGTGTGTGTTGTAAAGTAGCCACCACCCCAAGCTCACTTCTGTTACGGACTACAATCTCAATATAAATTAGTAACTAAACATGAGATTGTAGACCATCACATGAGCGAGCTTGGGGCGGTGACTACTTTACAACACACACAGGGACCATGGGGAACAAAAGTAGCCACCCTCTAGAAGGAAGGACAGTGTCAGCATGAATTCAGAGATGATTTGAGGATCTACAGACGGGTGACGAGCAAGTAATGGCGTCTCACGTGCTGTGAAAGTGGACTGTCACAAATATTTTCCTGTACAGCTTTGGCTTAGATTAAATACTTATTTATAAAGATGAAAATATAGACTTGCCATTGATGGCCATTGTGCTTTTTCCATGACAGTAAAGCTTTGACATTGCCTTTTACGCAAGTCATACATATGTCATCAAGCAATGTGGGAAAATAACTGCAATACTGGAGAACCACATGTGCTGCTACATCCTAAACCCCTGTAGATTTTCAAGATACTGGTGCTGGAAATACCCAGATTAGTAACTGTCATGCCTCCAGTGAACTGAAACTTATTAGTGATTTATTTAGCTGGCTCAATACTACTCTGCTCCTCTCATGTTACTGCTTCATCATACTGAACCACTTCCTACTTTCCTGTTCATCACTAAATCATCATCCTCACCACTACCTGAGGTGTCATAAGTAATATCACTAGATTATTATTATTATTATTATACAGGATTTATATAGCTCAAAAAAACAAAAAGAAATAAAAGCAAGGACATGAGGTTATTCATACCCATCGTTTTCACGCCTAGATTTGCGAATGGTGCCACCAATAGCACCACCACAAATGACAATTGTTTAATTGAAGAACATGAAGCCACCAATAATTACACTTTTGCTTTAAACATAAACAACAAATCTAGGGTATGGTGGAGATGTAGCTAAAAATAAACTTGTTCCCAGTGGAAGAGTGCTTACTAGAGATGAAGAAAAGAGCTGAGCACTATCCTGGCTCAAAGTCAAAGCAGTGGATTATGTTGCTTAGGCTAAAATACAAACAAGCTACCCAAGACAAAATGGCAGGGATGAATTGGCTTGTTGTGTTTGGAACAGTGATGCACTTTTCTACTTTTTCTTACCTAACCCCTATGACCTTCATAGCGGGTGAGCTCCCAAATGTTTCTCAGTGCTTACCCCACTCTTACTCTTCTTGCCAGCTGATAATGTTTTTTTTTTATTTGTAGCAGCAGGCTGCTCCCCAAACATTACAGAAAAGATGTGCATTAAAATCTGTCACTGCAAGGCTAAACTACTGGAATAGGACTACCGTCTTTTCACCTCATCTTCCCGAGATTTATTTGCTAGCATTTGCTTAGTGCAGCTCGGTTATAATATGCTTGACAATTGTTTAGGAAACACCCCCAACCTTCTGTCTTCTCCCATTGCGACTGCTGTGCATTATTTTTAGAGGCCCAAGCAACCAAAGTGTCACAGCAACTACCCATAAGTGGCGACCGAGGAGCCTACACTACCTTGTCCTATGAAAAACACAGTGCCACATCCACTATAGAAAAAAAATATTGATACCTTTGAATTTTGCAGAACCGTTTTTAGTTTCTTTTCCGAAAACATTTACAAAAGAATGCTGCCCCTTGATGTTTAAGGCCCCATTCACGATGAGCGATTTATCGCACGGTAATTCCCGCGACATCGCGGCTATTTACCGCACGATATCGCTCTCCAATGCATGGCAATGGGGCTCTGTCCGTCGCGTGTCGCTACAGCAGGACCCTTTTTGGAGCGGATTTTGCAGCGATTCTAGCTTGCTCAATGCAAGCATTTGCGCGATATCGCGCAACAAACGCGTGATATTGCGCAAAATGCAAATCGCGCGACAAACGCGCAATTTGCGAATCGCTCAGTGTGAATGGGGCCTAAAAAGTCTTAGTTTCCTGCAAAAACAGCTGATCCCTGAGCACTGGCTTTGATAGCCGGTTGTAGAGTGACTCCTTTATCAAGCAGAGTGCTATGCAGTCACCCTTGTGTTCCTATGAAAAACACAGTGCCACATCCACTATAGAAAAAAAATATTGATACCTTTGAATTTTGCAGAACCGTTTTTAGTTTCTTTTCCGAAAACATTTACAAAAGAATGCTGCCCCTTGATGTTTAAGGCCCCATTCAAGATGAGCGATTTATCGCACGGTAATTCCCGCGACATCGCGGCTATTTACCGCACGATATCGCTCTCCAATGCATGGCAATGGGGCTCTGTCCGTCGCGTGTCGCTACAGCAGGACCCTTTTTGGAGCGGATTTTGCAGCGATTCTAGCTTGCTCAATGCAAGCATTTGCGCGATATCGCGCAACAAACGCGTGATATTGCGCAAAATGCAAATCGCGCGACAAACGCGCAATTTGCGAATCGCTCAGTGTGAATGGGGCCTAAAAAGTCTTAGTTTCCTGCAAAAACAGCTGATCCCTGAGCACTGGCTTTGATAGCCGGTTGTAGAGTGACTCCTTTATCAAGCAGAGTGCTATGCAGTCACCCTTGTGGGTGCTAGTAAGCTGTCTGTCTCCACAAACACAGCAAATCAAGCTCCCCCCGCCCCTCTCTCCTCCAAGCTAGTAGATGAACAGTTACTGGGGGTCTGCTCTGTTGTTTGTGATCTTGTTTGTGATCTCATACTGGACAGGAAGTTCAGGGAAGCTGAGATGAGAGACGTGTAAACAATTGTTCAGAAACAACATGATTGTAAGTGTTTGGGCAAAAATTTAAAGTATAGCTTTGCTGGGAAATGTATATTTGTTTGATATAGATTGATTATTGAAAAAAAAGTTTGGAAGTTTAATACTTTAATCTTAACCTTTCAATCGGGACAAAATGTTCCTATCAAACAATGCAGCTCTTTTGAAAAGTTATTTGAGCATCTTTAAATAAACATTTATAGACTCAGCAAAGTGAAATATTTACACATGGAATAAAAGCCCAGGATTAGAACAGTTCACATGGGTCTTTACTTAGGAGTTTCCTTCTGGAACTCCTGTTTCCTCCCACACCACAAAGACATGCTGGTATGTTAATTGGCTCCTGTCTAAATTGGCCCTAGTGTGCACATGGGATAGGTACCTTAGATTGCAAACTCCTTTGCAGGGAATGATGTGAATGTGCAACTATGTAAAGCTCTGCGTAAATTGTTGGAGCTATATAAATACCTGTAATGGAATAGAAAAATAAAACGTTCCAATGTGGGGGTAGCCTCACTGCAAGGGTTAGGTTTTATTCTGCCTGTAGTTCTTCTTTAAAGCAGAACTGAAGCCATCCATACTCACCTGGCTATTCACTCACTGCCGATGATGGGACATCTGCAAACTCCTTCGCAGGTGCTGACATCTTTTCCCTGGCTCCTATTGCAGATTTGTGGTCTGTAGCCATTTTTATTGGCCAGGCTGGAATGACTCAATTCTCAAACATGCACACAGGAGTTCATTCATCCCTGTACTGTGGGCCAGGAATGTGCATTTGCAGTTCAGTAAACATTGTGGAGAATTTTGCAAGAACGAAGGTAAGAAGCATTCATTGCAAAAGAGACATATGGGTTGATTTACTAACCTTATAAACACGAAAAAAAAAAAAAAAGATTGTAAGGGTTTCTGGAGGGGTGTAAATGACCGTCCAAGAGAAATATATAAGGAAATATGCAATGTATTACTAATACATGCTTAATTGGTTACATACATGATTCCATTAAACTTATTAAAAATCAATCCCTGCAGAGGATACATCAATTCATTGATTGTTTAACAACTCTAAAAATCATTTGATCCAAATTTCCAGATGTAATTTCATAATTTTCCAAAGCATAGCTTAACTTAATAGGCCCCGAGGCGTTTCGCCAAAGGCTTCATCAGGGGACCATTCAGGATGAATCATGCCGCGGGGAATGCCATGGGACGCAACGTACACCTAGTGCGTGCGTGTGTTTAGGTTAGTAAATCACCCCCATAGTATGCCTCTTTTTTAATGAAAACCCTTCCTGCTTAGAAGGTTTCAAATCTAAGCTTTAGTTCCACTTTAAGGACTTACTTTAGGGGTTAGGGTAAATGTAAGAGCCAGGTTAAGAGTTAAGTGTTGGGACAGGTTTTGTGTTAAAGGCTTATTTTAGGGGTCAGTTTATGTGTTTAGGTAAGGAAAAGTTTTAGGGGGTAATTTAGTGCAGGGCATAATCCTACTATTTACTGACTGTTGCAGCATATTTAGTATGGTCACTTGTTCTCTAGCCAAAATCCTAATATCGAACACTGAAGCACCACTAGTGTACCAATATTTAAAGTGACATTAAAGGCTAAATCCCCCCCCCCATGCTAATGTAAGGACCTAGCTTAAATGATGCCTCTTAATCTGATCATCTTCTCCAATGCAGCACTGACTCCTCTGTCTTAACTGGCACTTCCTGTCCCATGGAATCTGTGCGGGTGCACGCTGCTCCATAGCAGCAACCTTGTGTCTCTCCTCGTCTCCCGGCCGTAGATCTGAACTGCGCATGCGCCCGCCTCAAGATGCTTTGCAGCCCCCCAAAGTTGTTCAGATGTTCGGACGGGAGTACATGGTGGAGACACAGGTAAGTTTTAACCCTTTGGAAAAGTTTGAAAAAAAAATGTTTTTGCATATATTTACTGCTTGCTAGCACTCACCTCATAGTTCTCCTTTAAGTTTAACAGTTATGTTTGGGTATTGGGTTCAGCATAATGGTAGCTTACTTACGTTGTATTTCTTTTAAGGGACAATCATTTACTTTTTGGATCTATTTAGTCTTTTGGGATAGAATTTGGATATTACTGGTATTGGTTGTACTTAAATATACTGTGCTCAATATATTGTGTCTCAATAATGCTGATACTTTTGTAAATAATAACTATTAATAACTAAATAAAATCATATAGTTTTTAAGCAAATGGCAGTTCCAAACACTATGCAGAAAAACGGTGCTTCCTGGGCCAAAGGACGATGCTGAAAATGTATAGAAAACAATGTCAAACTTTTCTTTTCATTGCAATTAACAGGCATAATTGTAAAATGATACCAATGAATCAAATATTTCTAATGAATCTAAGAGTCTGTCTGCAGACAACTGCATTAAAAAAAATGGTATAATAGATATATAATATTAATCAGTGTAAGTGTCATCATGGGTTTGTATCTACTCACCATTTGCCTGAAAGCGTTTTCCAGTGCACCAATTACAAGACTTTCAGGAAATACTTGTTTTTCAAGGTGGAAGCGAAGCACAGTGTCTAAAGGGGGTTCCGTTTTCTCCTGAGTCTGTGTATTTGAAACAATCCCATTCCTTGTGTCATTTTCTAGACACAGAGGAGCAGCAATTGTAGGCTTTTGGAGAATATATACCAGGTCCCTTAGCTGATCGCAAATGTGAAGGTGAAGGAGCCTCGATGCTGTCAAAGAGCATCCATATCCTGCATGACCATCAAAAAGTCCCCAGTAATAAAAAGATAATCCATCGCTGATCTAAAATATGGCAAAGAAAAAGGAAATGATTACCAAGACATGTAAGAATCTATCATTATAGTACACCTGATCTAAACTGGTCAATTCAAAATCGGTGCAGGAAGAAAAAATACATAACCAAAGGTTAACTTCAGTTAAAAGTACACTTTAAAGCAATGGTATGCAGAAATAAAGTGCAAATCTTTTAACATTTCCTGTAAAAGTCAAGCTTGGACCCACCCCTGTTTCCAAAGGCTCCTATTGGTTACCCTATTGATGGAAAGCCTTACTAACCAATTTGAAGACTCTGGAGGTGCTCAACTTTTACATGTATATACATGTTGAGCGGCCTAGATGTTTAAAAATGGGGTTTTCACTGAGGTATATACAGTATAACATAAACAAACTATATATCTACTGATTGCTGACGTGCACTTTCACCTGTGTTTTTTCCATTTGAATTCATATGTTCAGTCTGAATTGGCACGTTTATCATCAAGTTTATCATCAAACTAAACTCCAGAAAGTTATAAAGACATTTGAATGCAGGTCAATATTAATTAATACACCGTTAACTTTTTTTTTTAATCCATGCAGTGTAAGTACCTGATTTTGACTCGATAACAGCCAACTGCAGTTCATGTGCAGCAGATTTCAGACTGGGAGAGGAAAAAGCAGCACAAGGAGCCAATCAGAACTGTGTTAACAAAAGACATGCCCATTGGAGAAGAGAGCACAGTGAAAGAGAGATGAGCTTATTAGTCTGTTGCTTCTTCCTTTTACTGCCCAGTCAGAGGCTGCGGAAGGGACAAGACCTGTAAGTATTGCTTAACTGCAACAGACAAATGAGGTAGCCTGCCCTGCTAGGCAGCGCTGCTCTATGCGGCAGAGCTGTATAAATATTAGAAATGGATTGACTAAATTACTTACTCGCTGGAATCTCTCTCTGTCAAGAACGCATGAGATGTATGGTGATCTCTCCCCCCTGTGTTGGAGGGGATGTGGACAAAGGGGTACAGATCCTGCACAGCCCCCCTGAGACCTTGCAGAGCCCCCACAGATCCTGCACAGCCCCCTGAGGCCCTGCAGTTGTTTGCAGATACACCCCTGGGTACAATGGCGCACATTTGGTGGACTTGCCCCATTATACAGGGATATTGGGGTCAGGTGAGGACTTATGTTGAAAAAATGATCGGTTCTCCTATTGAAGATGAGTAGTGTATGTTATTTCATTGCACTGTAGAATCTACAGCAAAATATAAATGCTCACTGATCCCTCACCTACTTAATGCTGCACAATCCGCCCCTTTACATCAGTGGTTCAAAAAAAATGATGACATCTGTAACATGGAAGAGATGGTTTTATCATCTAGAGGCCAATATAAACGATTCTATAAAATATGGGCAGGGTGGTTGGAATTTAAAGAAGTGCAGATTATGGTTTGGTGATGTATTTGGTACATTGATAATGGTCCAAAATTGATGTATATAAATTTAGAAGGGTTCTTTTTTTATTGTTTGTTTTTTTGTATGTATAGAGTAATTAAGTATAAGTGCATGTGGGGGCAGTTAAACTAAACTAGACGGGACTTAAGAAATGGTTATAAAGAAGTATTAGATTTTTTAGCAGAATAATAAAAAAAGGGAAAAAGGATATGTTAGATAATAATTTAATTATATTTATTTATATGTATGTATTAAGCAGAAATGTCTGCTGTCCAGATGGAAGCTTGTTTTGTATTAATATGTAAAAACTTTAAATAAAGAATGAAAAGAAAAAATGGATTGACAGAAATACTAATTATTGGTTAAACAGCTTCCATATACTGTATGTCTTTTATCAGTGTTGCAAGATAACTGACACATGCAGGTAAATGAAATGTTGCATGATTCTTCATTTGCAGTACTCCTCTCTATTAGAGTAAATTTATTATATACAGCTAAAAATCACAACCACCAAAACCAGACTTTTCTTCAAAAACAACAGGAGTGAGTCCCCTACTCTCATGTGCAAAAAGAGAACCATGGTGCTGTGATGTAGCTTGAGATTCCTGTTTTTGTAGCATGGTTCCAAGTATTGCTTGCTGCTTGGTAATAGTTGGTTGCTGAAACAGTCCTGTAACTACAAGCCAAGCTAAGTTACACTTCCTTTTAACTTCAATTTTATCTATATCTTCTCCCCACACACACACACACACACACACACACACACACGTGCCTCTTAAACCATGTACACTTGCATGTCATTGTAAAGAAAAGCTCTCCTCATACTTATAGGCTTCTACATTTTACAAAAGTGAAAGAGGAAAGTCACTAATCAAAAGAACTTGTGTATGTCTAAGCAAGCCTAGGCATGACCAGTATGCCTTACATCTTTAGTTTTAAACACCTTTTTGTTAAATATATTTTAAATGGAATCTATCATTAGAGAAAATTATCATTTATCAGAGATGCTGGGGATGCCACACAGTCACTTTGCAAACTGTAAATTGATGAAATCCTACACAAAAAGGTGCATCACTGTGGAAACATGTAAATTACATGCCTGCCCTTTCTCAAGTTCAAAAGGCCTTTTAAATTTGACAAAGGATGGGGATGCTCAAAACCGTTGACCCTGTGGCCTATTTGCACATTTATACACTAATGTATCTTTTGCATAAGATTTAATAATTGCATATCTTTTCAACTGATTGTGCAGCATCCTGACGTTTTCTCTGGATTGATTAGTGTCATTGTTGTGTCCACTTGATGCAGTCAAACAGAATACTGCTGCATCGGTCTCACCCCCTTTGATTATCCAATGAATATGTGAAATAAAATTCCAGGAAAGGGGAGGGACAGCGATTCATCATCCCTCTCACTTGCTGGGCAATAAGCAGAGTAGCAGCAGATCCTGTGACTCTCAGCTACTCCATAGAAGTTGAGAGCCACAAGTACTTAGCATGAGCAGGCACAGTTGACATTTTCCACAGCAATATCAAAAGTGCATGCACACCAAAGTTTGGGCCACCTCTGTCTCTGGGCAGAACCCATTCCCCTGCTTCCTATGCTCCCTTTTCCTAGCTGCTGGAAATGTCCTTCACAATGGTGCCAATTCTCCGCATGCACAATTTGCACCAGAGGACCTCACAGAATATGCTTACTAGGCTCCTATAGCACTTCTTTTACGAACCGCTGCTGCGCTGATGTACACTTATTTACCTGCTACTGCTTCCCTGACACGCACTTAATCACTTACCACTGATGCACACTTATTCACTTGCTACCACTGCTCCAACATGTACATTTGTATTAATCCTGTGAATGGGCACCCTCTTATATATAGGAATTCCCAGAGCACTATAGGTCAGCTATAAAGTGGTGTAGCAGAAAAAGACTGTGTTAAGGCTCCTTTTGTCTAACTTGAAACTTTGGATGGAGCTGCAACTGATACAAACTGTGAAAAGAAACTAGAGCCCAACAATCTTACTGTTTAGAAGACTAATTAATATTAATATGCAATATTCAAATATACCTGACTAAACAATAAAAGGAAAATGCTATCACACTGGTGGGTATTGGGAGAGTCCATGGGGAAGGGCCCCATTACACTGGTAGTCATTGGGAAGAATGCCCCTTACAATTATGGTCAGTGGGAAGAATGCCCCCTTACAGACAGCTAAAAAGATCATTTGTGTCAGTGGTATTATCTGGGAGACCCTAATTGCTAATTTCTCAAGGAACCCCAGGGATCCATAGAACCCTGGTTAGATAAGGCTAACTTAGACTGTAGTTGACCTGTGTGCTAAACAATCATTTGTACTAATGAAAACTCCTAAAATGCTTTCCTGCAGAGAATGATTATCCGATCAGTTGGGGAATCGTTTGTTGATTGATATCTACCATTTCATCTCTTGTCAGTGATCATTTTTGTACTTAGAACATTGAAATGTTTATATTAAAAGAGAACTATGGGTTAAGTGTTTTTCATAGTTCTCTTTAGGTTCACGGGAGGACATATACTAGCATCCTCCCGTGACCAAATTCTCAATATGTCGCGAGCTACAGCGCGTATACTATGACTCGCGGTATACTAAGACCGCCCAAGCCGGGATGGATCCCGACAATGCTGTCGAGATCCACCCAGCTGCGTGAATGACAGCTGGCTCTGCCTATCTACAGGCAAAGCCAGCTGTACCTGCCCCCTCCCCTGTCCGTTCCTCCTTTCAGCACCGGAGAATCAGAGCGGGGAGGGTGGGAATCCCTGCGGGGAGAGGTGACTGACAGTCACTGCTCTCTGCAGGGAGATGATCGAGAAGTGAGCGAGCGACGGTATGTGTTCGCTCACTTCCCAGATCAATTGAGCCAACGTGTGACAGTTTCATTGTCACACGTCGGCTCGAACTATGAGGATGAGTGATTTTCACTCACCTCATAGTTCTCCTTTAATTAAACATTTAAAGGATATTTGTTGAATCTCCCACAAATCAGCCTGTATATGTCCAAGCTCTGTGTGTTGTCTCTCTTACAACCATATTGCACAAATATTACTATTTAGAGGGGTACTTATTAGAGAGGTTTAAGAAAAAAAAAGGAAATTGATAAGTTGGTCTTCAAAAAATGCATGCAACAACTGTGGACATCATCACTACTTCTGTACGTCACAGTAGGCTTGGTCATCAGTTAACCAGCTTTAATAATTGCACGTGTTCTGCTCAGCACCTACCAGCAGTTTTATTAAAACAATACATTTGGCATTTAGAAGCTTAAATCCCTGAGTGTTCAGCCATGTCAATAATGTTTACAACATACCTGAGTATCCGATTGCACATCAGAGTTTTGAGATTCATTGCATTTGCTATTCAATCTACCATCTCTTTCTTCAACGGTCACAAATTCACAACAAGCCTGGTCTTCATTGTGTTGACTTTTCCCAGCATTGATAACCCTATATAGAAGTAGAAAATACAAAAAAGTAAATGCAGTAAACTATTATTACGCAAAGAAATTAATACCAGCAAAATGCTAGGAATAATTCAGATTAGTGGACCCTTCTAATACCGTGGTTCTCAACTGGTGGGTCCGAGATGGCGGCTGGCAGCTACGCATGTGTAACATCATCATTGTGACAATGATGGGGGATTTGAGTCTGAATATTGCAGAATAGAATTTGTTTGTTTCCCCAGTCAGAGCATCTGCAGGTATTCTTCATTTAGAATTAATAGGCCCCTCCACATTCCACAGAAGAGATGCAGATGGCTGTGATGTTTTATTGTTTCAGTCCGAATGAACTTCCAAAAATCTTGCAAAGCCTTTTATGGCTGTCGTAATTAATGGCATGGCACTAGGCACTCCATATATTACGAGTGAACATTTTAAAATAAACAAGCAGGTCTGCTAGGTGATGACCTCGCATTCCCACGAAAGTCAGAAACCCTAAGTTGGAAAATCAAGCTACATTTTGTATACTTTGGAATTTGGGCGGGGATAGGTAAACTAAAGGTTCATCCTCCGCCCATTTGCCCGCCCACCCCTGCCTAGGGGCTGGCTCCGGAACACCCTCCAAAAGGGTCTTATAAAATATTCTGTGTTAACAATTAGAGTGGCTCTTGGTTTTAAACATCTTTGAGGAACTAGAAGTCTGAATATTGGAGAAGAGTTCCCCTTTCATCTTTGGACATTATCTGCTGGAAGTCTGCTTGAAGAAGAGCCCTGCAGACTTCCACTTTGCTTCTTGGACTCTGAACTCTGTCAGAACTCACAATTCCAGGACTGTTGAGTATTCTTCTTTAATTCCCTTTTATTTTGCTGTTGTATATATATTTTGTCTTGTTTATTAAATCTTTTTCTGTATATTTTCGGCACCGTTTCTTTTATTAAAGCGCGATATAAAAAATCGTTAAGCTTATCTCTAAGCTCTAATGACGAACTTAAAGTATTCTTGCTCTCTGAAGAGCGCTACTGTATAGTAAATCCTGTCATATTCCTGTCTGAGAGGACATCGGTATCACAGGCATTTTTAAGTGGTTAAATTGTTGCAGCAGTTGCTGGGCACGGTTTGTGTTCCGAAAAACACATGGTGGCAGTGGAAGTTTGGTGGGTAAAGGGTTAACTGCGGAGTTAACCAACCCTGGTGACGATCGCTCTCAGTCTGCTGGCCTGAGATTGTGTCCTGCGAGCTGGGGAATCTCTGCGCAGGGTGAGGCTGAGAGTGCTATCGCCATGTCCTTGTGACGCTCACGCTCGGTTCAGACTTGTGTAGGGTCACGTGGGATTGACGTACAGCGGGTCTGGGCCAGGCGTACGTCACAATCATGTGTGTGTGTCATAGTGTCACAACGGGTAAAACAACAAAAAGTTTCCAGGTACACTCACCAGCCAGCATGCAAAAAAACCTGTCCAACCACTAAGGTTAAAAGCAGAGATTTAGATGCACGTCTTCTGCAGAAAATGTGAAAGCAGCACAGCCACGACACGGCACCTCCATATAGTGCGGTCCCAACTCTAAACTATGAGAGTCTCCATCTTGGAGCACATGGGGCAAAATAATAAATTGGGTGCAGGTTTGTCAGGAGGAAGCCCAACCTCCCTTAAAGGCACAGGTACGCACAAGGGACCCCGCACATCACAACGGCAGCTGAGACCCCCCATGCGTCACTGCACCAAATCAGTCAAGCAAAACAAATTGCAAACACACTCATCAATTCGTTACCAGCTGTACAGCAAGGTGCACATGGAAGGGCTTCAAATAGTAAAACAGCAAAAAGTTTCCAGGCACACTCACCAGCCAGCATGCAAAAAAAACTGTCCAACCACTAAGGTTAAAAGCAGAGGTTTAGATACATGTCTTCTGCAGAAAATAGTGTCACAACGGGTGACACCTGGCAGCCGCATTGGACACTCAGCCCATAGATGCCTCTGACTAAGACATCAGTAATATGTTAGGTCAGTCAAGGTGAGAGTCTGGTGTATAAGCTGGAGGTGGAAGCTGTAACACAGACACTGCCTGTCTCATCACATGCACATCACAGAGAAAGGTTTAGAGGATTTGCCTTTACAATATCACAACTTTATTGCATTGCTTTGCTATTCGTTTGCATGACACCCCAACGCACCTTCCACCCTCCATGCGCTGCAACACACAGTACCGCAATTCCGTGTGTTGCAGTGGAAAAAAGTAGTGCACGCTGTTCTGTGCAGTCTGTCACAACTGAGTCTCTTGCTCAGCTCTGGCTGCCATTGCCCAACATCTGAAGCAATGCTAGTTCCATAGCAGGCAAGTCACTGTTCATAATGTCATAATGCTGCACAGCTTAGCTTTGCCCTCGGTGTCTTGGTTGTGAAAGGTTCTCCTGAATACCCTATGCTTCCCATGGTTCACATATCTTGAGATAGGTCAACCAGCTCAAAACTAACATCACATCCATTACTGTCTCTCTTTTCCTTATAATGTTATTGTTTAGATTGTGTAAACACAATCTACCTAAGTATCCGTTTGCACATCAAAGTTTTGAGATTCATTGCATTCGCATACCTGAGACCCAGACCCAGAGCAATGGAGCCTAATCAAGTTTTATAGAAAAAAAAAACACACACTAAGAGCTGATGCCATGAGTACTATTATGGTTTATGTTTGTAGCTGCTTTGTTCAAAGTGAGTACAATATATTTGTTCTCAATTAAGATAGAACAAACACTCTTGAAGTAATGGTGCATAATTGCTAAAGGGTATAACATTTCTTCCAAGGACTAGTCAGCAGTATTGCCGTTGATCTTTTACACATTACTAACTTACCGTACCTTGTTTCACACTGTGTCTCCGTGTGTAAATGGCCATCTTGGCAGAAGCAGGACTTTGCTTTCTTATGTCAGAGTCTCCAGAGAGGAGAACAGTGAGCAGCACAGTAGTGACATCACCAAATCACCAAATCTATCACTTGAGACCAACAGTCAACGGCAACAGTGCCTTAGATCTCAACTGCATATATACAGCTATGACGGCACAGGAGAACCTAGACACCCTCACTTACCAGAAAGTACACATATATTTTTTAGGAAGAATTCAAGACAAGTCAAGGTTCATTTTAGGGTACTGTGTAGGCACATATAACATTTCACGTCACGTCATTTCATAACACGTCAAGTTTTGAGTTCAGTTCCACTTTTAAAAGATACTGAACTCTTGAAGCTGTATTTCCATTGGCATCTTGATGAGCAGTCTCCAACTTATATGCATGAAAACATTAGTACTTGCCTTAAGAGTATGTGTGCTAATTCATCATAAACCAGTATCTACAGTATGTGTTGCAACCCCTCACTGACTAGTTTCTAGAATAATCGTGTCAGGTTTTTGTTCTGACAACTGTATGCCATTGGGGGATTCCCATTCACTTACTATCCTGTAGAATCAATGAGTAGTGAAAATAAATCTCTCCAAAGGGCAGTCTCCTTATAGATCATAGTCAACGGAACAAGTATCCCTAATGAAAGATTTCTCCTCTATTCCTCTTCTGATGACAATGCAGAGCTTTGTTCATTAGTACATTTGACCATTAGCACGAGGAATGAACACTGTTAATGCTATATTCACCAGTGTTACAGGATCTACTGTGCATATTACCTACCATAAAGACTGAAAGTATTATTTGTATCTTTTGAAATATACATTTGTTTTTAACCTGTGACCCTGTGAATCAACTGGGAAAGCACCCGCAGGTCCTAACATCTAGTGGACTGGCCACCACTGTTCTAGATTGTAAAATAAAAATAATACTTTTAGAAGAGCAAAAAAGTTTGGGTGTAAGAAAAAGAAATCATCTTCACACTATAGAGTTTCACTGCTTTTGCTGCAAATGCTGTGGTAATAAACTTTCTATCTGAAAGATAAACCTCTCAGACTTCCTTTGTGGGTGGGAGGGAAGCAAAATGTAGCCTTACTGGTTATCACACATTCAGTCTTGTGACACTTGGCTAGGAGGCCCGGAATTCTTTCTCACTAGAACTTGTTCCTGTATTCATTTACCTCACTACTCTGTGGCTATCAAAATCACAATATGTACAGTAAGTCAAATCCCGCCTATAAAAAAGCCTCTTGGCGATTGCATTCACTATCCCCTCTCCTGCTCTCTGCAAGTGTTGCGTTGTGTCCAATTTTTTGCGGAACGCGTACTCCTCTCCTTCCCCAGTTTGCTTCACAGTTGAATACTCAGGATGGAAGCCCCTGTTCCACTGTGTGTGCAGACATGTGAGCCTGTCATGACTGTGTATGTGCCTGGGCTGTGTTTGTATACACCAGCTCTCAAGGAGCTTACCTAACAATCTAAGGTTCCTATCTAAGGTCCCTTTGTGTGTCTGCCCTTACTGTTTGTGTACATGTGTGCCTGTTGTGACTATGTGTGTACCTCTCATGACTGTGTGTGTTCCCAGACGGTGTGTGTATATGTGTCCGTCTGTTGTGACATTGTGTGTAAACTTTACCCACTGATATCTCACCGGAAAGGTTTACTCAGAGTAATCCTTTCAGGGAGAAAATGCCTCTCTCGCGGACATCAGGGAGCTGCTGTCCAAAAGAGGGAGACTCCCTGAACATCAGGGAGACTTGAGATCACTGTGACTGTGTGTGTGCTCGCAATTACCCCATACAAAACCTACATTTTGAGGTGTACATGGGAAGTGTAATATACAAAGCAATACAAAAATCTACCAGCACCCCCAACCACCCCCCCACCCCCCCCAGCTGGCTATCACAAAGAATAATTAAACCGTTTCAATATCATTACACACGGAATATTCCTGATTTCCCGGGAAGCCGGCTCCATGCTAGCAGAAATACAGGTATCGGTACTCGGTATCAGCAAGTACCGTAAGATAAATATCAGTACTCGTACTCGATACGGAAAAAACGGTACTGGTGCATCCCTACTAAAAACATATTTTTTTTAGGAGAGTG